GAGTACCTGGGACTATAGGCATGTGCCACCACGCCCTGCTAGTTTTTGTATTTTTAGTAGAGGCAGGGTTTCTACTCTCTTGGCCAAGATGGTCTTGATCTCTTGACGTTGTGATCTGCCTACCTCGGCCTCTCAAAGTGCTGGAATTACAGGTGTGAGCCACTGCGCCCTGCTGGTTGCTAACTTTTTAATGGCTGCATAATAGTTCAAGCAAGTGTGTACCATAATTTTACTTAGCAAATATTTATTTGTTAAACATTTAGGTACTTCTGATTAACTTTTATTAAATTATCGCCATTACTGTGAATATAGTGGTGACTATATTCATGCATATGACTTTTCTCATATTTTGGAGTATAGCCTGAGAATTTTTCAGTTTACAGATTCAAATAATACCTGTTTTCTACACTATTAATAAAATCTACCTAATTACTTAAAAGAGATTAACAGTTGCCATCATGGAATTGGTGAGAGTATTTGGAGTTTGGGGATTTGACTTCATTTTAGAGATACCCAGACTTGCAGCTGGAGGTGACACTTAAGGACCTAACTCCTCATCTTATGTTTTGTTTTCGTCTTTTGTATTAGACTGTGATTTTAGTGCTTTTGACCGACCAGTTGGTATGCTGAAAAATGCTCTGTGGGCCTTTGTGAACACCACCTTATTTTGTAGAAGTACATTATGTCATACTGGCTTAGACGTCATGTACCTGTATCTTCTCTCTCACCTTCATGGAAAAAAAAAAAAAGGAAATGAAAGAAGAAGGATACTGTCATCAAAAGCAATTTAAAAAGTTTTGGGGCAGTGTCTTGTCCTAAGTGCTAATTTTAGTGCAATAATTACTAATAATTCCTACAGTCTCCAAGAAAAGTTAAATTGTTAGTTATGTTACCAAAACACAGAATGGCCCGATTAAACAAAGGATGTCCTAAAATAGTAGTGTTGATGCTTAAAAGGTTAAAACTATTTTTTGTGAACGTTAGTCTTGTGAAATAGGGTTTTCTCAGTTATGTTGAATGAAGTAGTTATACAGTTATATGGAAATAGACATTAAACATAAGAAGTTTGGGGAGTTGCAGATTTAGTCTGGTCTCAGGATGTTTCCTTGGCAGGACTTTTTAAATACAGGTTGCATCCTCAGAGAAAGCTGAAGTTAACCAAATCTGTAATGCTGAACAGTTGCGCCTTGAGAAAAATAAAATTGTATCAGTTTTCAGGAAACAAGTTTATTATTTTTAAGTACTAAAAATAGTTTTAAATAGGCTTTGTGGAATAGTTGATACTAATCAAACTAGATTATAAAGAAGAATGTTACCTTACAGTAGAATGTGATTTACTGGGTTGAGTATGAACCTTAGAATTCCATAGACTTGAGCTCAAATTATGATTTTGATATTTCTGAAGTGTTTGACTTTAAGCAAGTTTGTTAAACCTGATGTTCAGTGTATAAAGATTGAGAGAGCCCAGTTCAGTTTCTGGCATGAAGCTAGCTATTACCAGATTGAGGCTTTAAAACCTGCCATACTGCCTAAATAAAAATGTGTTAATTTTTATATCTTTTGTAATCAAATTAGTGTAGCCAAAATTCTGGAGAAAAAACTTTCAGTGTGGCACAATTTTTATTTGAGTTATATACATACACATTGTGTTTTGTGTAACAAATTACCACAAATTCATTTGCTTGAAACACAAATATTAGCTCACAATTTCCGTGAATCAGGAGTCCTCATATGGGTTAGCTGCTGGACCACCTTTCCAGGATCTTACCTTGCAGGAGCTGTGATTTCTTCCTTGTCTCCTTCCAGGTTCACTGGTAGAATGTGGTTCTTGTGATTATAAGACTGAGGTCCCCCATTTTCTTCCTGGCTGTCAATTGGTGACTGCACTCAGCCCCTGGAATCTGCCCACAACCCCCTGCCACATGCACCCTTCATATGCCTTCTCACATCAGCTTAGTCTGAAGAATTGGCAAGATTATCCCGGGAAGGACTCAGTTCTGCTTGCTTTTATTAAGTCAGGCCCAGGCTCACCCAGGATAATCTCTAACTTACATTCATCTGACTTGGACTCTTCATTACATTTGAACATCTCTCCCCCTTTGTCATTTGATGTAACCTAATCATGGAAATGAAATACATCATGTTCACAGCCGTGCCTACGCACTTGGGGAAGGGGGTTGTATAGGAGATGTACACCAGAGGTAATCTTGGAGGGGCAACCTGTGTATGTCACCTGCCCCCCCCTCCACACACACACACAGCAGGTATGTGTGATTTTATTTTACCTAGAATTAAAATAAAATTGTAACTGGTTTTAATCAAGCCCATCTATGGTTTTGTCCCAGACTTATTTTAACTGCAGGATTTGAATATAGCTTTTCTCAATTATATTTGTCCATCCTTTTTTATAGACAACTGGAGCTTCTGACCAAAGGAAACTATTGTGAGTAGGAGAGGATATGCTTGAAAATCATGGCCACAGGGACCAGATTTGCCAGTTTTACATTTGTAGATCATCAAGATCTTAAGATTTCAAAGGAATGAGGAATGGAGGAGAAGAAACATGATCTCTATTTGTCTTTTCCCAGCCAGCTACTTGTATTAACTATTTTGTAAGACTTTTTGGGGCATGTTAGTTGAAGGCAGGATGGCCTTAGGAAAACGTCCTGTAAAGGATACATATTGAGCAAATGAAAAGCTTAAGAGGATGCAAAAAGATTCCTATATAAAAAAACAAACCATTTTGAGAGAGTGGCAAAGGCCCTCCTTAGATTGAGTCAGGAATGTGAAGTATTCCTTTTTCTATGAAACCTTACTCTTTAGATTAACTCAGAACTGTTACTCCTGTTCTAATTTTTGCCTGTTTTATGGCACTTAAATACTATAGTTGGCTGCTCACATCTGGGTTTAAAAAAATTATTACAATAAGTTTCTTGAGGGTAGGAGTCATGTTTTATCTTTATATCTTATTAGGTAAATTCATTTACTTATTTTTAGAGACTGTCTCACTGTGTTGCCCAGGCAGAAGTACAGTATTGCAGTCATGACTCACTGTAACCTCAAAGTACTGGGCTCAAGTGAACCTCCTGCCTTAACCTCCTGAGTAGCTAAGACTATAGGAGTATGCCCCTATGCCACCATGCCACGCTAACTTTTTATTTTTTTGGGCGGCGGGTAGAGATGGGGTTTTCTCTACGTTGCCCAGGCTAGTCTTGAGCTTGGGTACTTGAGCTCTTCTCCCACTGTGGCCTCTCAAAGGGTTGAGATTACAGATGTGAGCCACTGCATTTGGCCTCTCTCTATATCCTTCCTAATTTAATTCTTGGCTTGTAGGAGTCAGTAAATACACCTTGATTCAGCAATGCATACTTCTGCGTAGTGATAAAGGATAGCCCATTCATGTTTCTAGTATAGAGACCAGAACATTTTGTACAGAAAACTAATGAATTCTAAAGTTCCTGTCCTCAAGTGTTTTGTTTTTTTACTTATAGGTGAGTCTTTGGAAGTATTTTTACTCTTACCAGTGGGCCCAGTTATTTGTTTACCAGGCCTATAGCAAACCAGGAACAAAATACTGTAAAGAGGCTAAGGAAGTTGGGGATATTAATACATTAACAGCAGGGATATTAATGTAATTAGCATTCCATCTTATGATCAGTTTCTGGCTGCTTCCTTATCTAGCCATATTGAATGTTTTGCAGTTTTCTGGCTACGCTGCTCTCTCTCTTTTTATTATTTTTATTTTTATTTATTTATTTTTAAGACGGGGTTTCAGCATGTTGGTCAGGCTGGTCTTGAACTCCCGACCTCGGGTGATTGGTCCACCTCGGCCTCCAGAGTGCTTGGATTACAGGCGTGAGCCACCACGCCCGGCCTGCACTGTTCTCTCTTGGCAGTAACTTCTCCATAGCACCTAGTGCCTAATGTTATCATAATACTTACTTCATGCAGTGATGCATTATTATTTTCTTTTTTATGGGATATACTTCTTGAAAGTAGAAAACCATGCCTTTGTTTTTGGTTTAGTGCCTGTCACCAAATAGACACTTAAATGTAAGACTGAGTGAACGAATGAGGCAATGAAACTCTAAAAGGAAGACCACGTTATAGTACATAACTTTTAGTGTAGGGACAAGAGGGGCCAAGACCCTTAACCCCCAAGAAGGATTCACTGTCACAACACAGTGGAACACATTATGTTCATGATTTTTTAATGTTACAGATTAAGTATATTTACATGCGAATTTAAGGGGATTGACCCACGATCAAGTCAAACGTTTATTTGTAAATTTATTTTTGTTTTCTAATTTTTGTAGATACTGGGGCGATCCTCCTACTTTGACATCCCAAAGAGCTGGGATTACAGGTGTAAACCACTGCATTGGCCAAATTAAGCATTTTAAAAAAGCATTTAAAACATGGCATTACTTTTGTGCTTAGGATTGTGTCCTTTATTCCATAGGAAGGTCGTTAGGTTTGTGTTGAATAGAGCTGTGATTTCCACAAACGTATGATTGCTATAGAAAATTTGCCACAAATACTGTAAAATCTGTCATCTTCCTTTGCATGATTATTTGGAAGGTTAACTAAAAAACAGAATGAGAAAAAATATTAATCTTGGTCCAGGCAAACACTTATCTTTCTGTACTTAAGATATGTAATTTGACCTCTGGTTTTCTTAGCATGAAGTCTGTCCTTTAGAATTTCAGAACTAACATCAGCAGAAAAAGTTACCAATAGGTATTTGGGAAACAGGAAGGACATGGTGTTCTTGGGCTGTGCTGTTTTGCCTGAGACAGTTTTTGTAAGAGAGATCCATTGCCAGAGGCAACCTTTGCCAACCTTATGTTTTGATGTTTAAAATTAATTTTTAATTTCTTTCCTGTCTCTGCTAGCAGAATCATCAAATACCTAGAAAATCCAGACTATCCTTCATAGGCATGATTCTCCACATTGGTGCAGCTAGCCATGAACTGTCCTTTTCTTCCTCTTTTTCCCAGATATCTCCCGGGGCCAATTCAGCATCTCTACCTGGCCATCCTAACAAGGTGATTTGTGAAAGGGTGAGACTTCAGAGCCTGTTCCCTCTCCTCCCAAGTGATCAGAACACTACCGTTCAAGAGGATGCTCACTTCAAAGCTTTCTTCCAGGTTCTTATATATTTACCCTTTCCCTACATAGGGCTGAAAGTCACATTCTAGGGTGTTTCTAGAAGGCTTGAAACAAATTACGCAATATCGTCTCCTTGTTTTCTGTTGTATGTGGAAATAAATAATTCTTCTTAGAGGACTTTAATATTTTTTCAGCCAACTTTTCTGATGAATGTTTGTCTTCTTGAGCTGTTCAGCCACTGTTAATTATTTGACTACTTAATATTCTTGTGTTTTGATCTTTTGGTCTTAAATCGCTTGTCCTAATTGGTCAAGTTCTATAACAAAGTAGAAGATAGTATAGAATATATGATGTTGTGTGGGAAAGGAAAAACGGAAGCATATAAGATGTTCACTAGCTACTTGCTTGGCACCCAGAGTTTGATAGTAACACATATTTCTGAGAGAAAACATGGTTACTTGTCTTTTTTTTTTTTTTTTTTTAACCTGTGGGGGGAAAATGTGAGTTAATTTTTTTTTTTAATGTAACATGAAAATAAGGTGCGTAAATGGATTAAAACTCATTAGGTTATTAACAGAATTACTGGGACCTGCCCATAGAAATCATTGGGTACCACACTGTCAATCCATCTTCCTAGAGAAGCATGTTTTACTGATGGATGTCAGTAACACTGTTACCAGAAAAGTCAGGTTACACAGTTGCTTCTGAGTGGTAGGATTGTGGGCCAATGTGTATAAACCTGAGATAGTGAAATAATTGATCATCAAGGGTGGGACTTTTGGATAGAGCCAGCTCACTTTCTGTTTGTATGAAAGTGAATGCTTGTGAGACATAAAGTTGGAGATAAAAAATTTGGAGGGATTGGTGATCCTAGGACTCTTCAGTATGGTATTCCTTCTTGGAATTTGTGCCAGATTCTCTGCTGTGCATGTATTGATTCTTTTTGTTTTTAGCCCTCACAATAAACTAGTCATTGATGGTTTTTAAGATATGGAAACAGGCTGTGAAAAGCTCGGTGTGGTGCCTCATCACATATCTAATTATTTGGCAGAGAAGGGGCTCAAATCTAACTTTAGCTGAATCTTGTCTACTATGTATATGTGGAAGAAACTCACTCAATACTCTTACTACTGCCACCAGTAAGAAGGGTTCTTTTGATACTTTCTCATTGCTCCCTTTGTGTCTTCAGATAATAACTCAATATAAACTTTAATTTCAAATGCAAAAGTTAAACTCATGTTGTGAAAACGGAACAATAAAGTTAGAGCCAGTTACACTTGAGTGTTGCAGAAAGATGAAATGTATTGTTAAATTAAGACTATTAAATAAAAATTTAACTTAAGTCTTTCTTTGAACCTTAAGTGCTCAGTGAACTTTGGGGGGGAAACTAGAAGTTTTCTTTGCCCAGTTACAGTTACCACCCTACCACTGTTCAACATGAAGCTGAAGCTAAGTAGATCTTTCTCTCAACCCCGTTGAGAAACTGATACCTTCAACTAGTTGACACCTTTTAAATAGGATATAATTTGTTAGTTCCAGTTATGCTTCTTATCCTTAAAAACTTAGGTTTTCCTTTGCATGTGGTAACTTATCTAGCCATCTAGCGTCACAAAGTTATTCCCTTAATGTGTTATGATTTCTTCTTGGCTTTCTTCTCAGGTTCCTTATCTCCCGATTATTTCTACTTTTCCTTCTTTTTAGAATGATCTGTTTTAAACAGATTTACCTATGTTTTCATTTTTTTCTTCGGGCACCCTCTCTGCTTCCTTATCTTAGGTAAAATTCCTGTCTTTTCTGAGGACATCAGCCTTCTCTAGGAGTAAAGAAATTAATTGATCCCCCCCAACCCCCCCACCAAGCATGAGGAGTTGGGTGTGTGGCTAGTAAGGTAGCCATAGAGGAGAAAAAAATGTGTTGCTACTCTTCCTGGATTTTTACTATTGTTCTATCACCAGTCTTTATCAACAAACTCATCCTGTTTTTGAGCTTTTTTTGTCAGTCATCTGTATTATTTATCAATTCTGTCATTGTCCTTGTTTATTAAAAACTTCTACATTTTGCTTCTCATATTTGCTTGTTTTGTATTGCTCCTAGTAAATACTTTTTTTATTGCCAAAATTTGTTTTTTTTAAATTTTGTATGCTTTAATTTGTGAAAGAGTTTAATTTGTTTTAATTTGTGAAAGAGTTCATATGTGCAATTTAGAAAATATAAAGCAGACACCTATATAATAATAAAACATTAAAGCAGACACCTATATAATAGTAAAACACCATCTAGTGTAAGAAACCAGCCATTAGCAATACTTTTAAAGCCCCCATATGACCCTCCGTGTTAATATCCCATGCTTATGCCTCAGGTACTTCTCTGTTCAGTATCCTTTTGCTTTTCTATATGGTTTTACCAATATAAAATACTTCTTGATGTTACACTGTTTAATTTTGCTTGTTTCTGAACTTAGTATAAATGATGTCACGCATTGTATACTTTTTTGAAATTCATTTAAGTGCATCTGCCTGTATACTTGATTTATCTTGTTGTTTTTAGTTTTCCATTATATGAATATATTGCAGCTTATCCCTTTTCTTTTTGCTTGACATTTGGGTAGTTTCCTGTTTTTTTTACCGTTAATTACAAGCAGTGCTTCTGGAAATACTCTTGTATGTGCTTCCTGGTGCACATTTGGGAGGTATTTTAGTGGTTCTGTAAAAGTGATGGCTTTGTGTACTCATTGCCCACAGCAGAGGTATAAGTGTAGGTTCATTTGCATCTCTATAAAAACTGATATTTAAAATTAGAATCTTAAGGCTTCATACAATATTTTAAACATTTTTAAATTAAGATATACTTAACGTAAAGTTAAGTATTTAGCATATAGGTCTGTGAGTTTTGATAAATGTATACAGATGTGGAGTCACCACCACAATGAATGATAAAACAGTCTTATCACCTCCCCAAATTCCCTCATGTCTCTTTGCTGTCAACCCCAATCTTAAAGTTTTAAAATTAGCCATGTCTTTGCTATCAATGGAGTCAGTGGTTGTGATTGAACATAATAAGCTTTGAAAAAGTAATTAAGTACATGGCGAGAGAATTTCATATCTGGCACAACCATTAATTTCAGGGGTGTTTGTGGTATCTTAATGACAGCTGTGTTATAACTTTTATACACCCAGCTAATTTTTGTATTTTTAGTAGAGAAGCCTTTTCACAGTAAATTTGTTAACAGAAAGGGGTCCCCATCCCAAGAGAGGGTTCTTAGATCTTACACCAGAAAGAATTCAAGGTGAATCCATGGAATAAAGTGAAAGCAAGTTTATTAAGAAAGTAAAGGAATAAATAATAGCTACCCCCTAGGCAGAGCAGCCCTGAGGCCTGCTGATTGCCCATTTTATGGTTATTTCTTGATTATATGCTGAACAAGGGGTGGGTTATTCATGCCTCCTCTTTTTAGTCCTAGTAATCCCAGCATTTCGGGAGGCCCAAGGCAGGCTATCACTTGAGGTCAGGAGTTCGTTACCAGCCTGGCCAACATGGTGAAACCTCGTCTCTACTAAAACATAAAAATTAACCAGGTATGGTGGTACACACCCGTAGTCCCAGCTACTTGAGATGCTGAGGCACAAGAGTCACTTGAATCTGGGAGGCAGAGGCTGCAGTGAGCTTAGATAGTACCACTGCATTCTAGCCTGGGCAACAAAGCAAGACTCACTCTCAAAAAAATAAAAATAGACCATATTGGGCAACTTCCTGACATTGCTATGACATTTGTAAACTGTCATGGTGCTGGTGAGAGTGTAGTAGTGAGGATGGCCAGAGATCACTGTCATCGCCATCTTGGTCTGTCTCATCCTGTGACTTAGAATGCCTAACTTACTGGGAATGCAGCCAAGTAGGTCTCAGTCTTATTTTACCAAGCCCCTGTTCAATATGGAGGCACTCTGGTTCAAACATCTCTGACAAATTTACTACAGTTAAATTAGGTGAATGAAAATTTGAAAATTTATACACATGGAGAAATATGCCACGTTTTTGAAAGAGAAAACAAATTATTGTAAAAATATCTATACTCTAGCAAATCTGTAGACTTAATGAAATCTGCAGCCAAAATATCAGCAGAATTTTGTATTTAGAAATTTCAGAATTATTTTAAAATTCATACCAAAGATTATTGAATATAAAAGAGGGGGGACAAACTTTTCCGAAAATTGTCATAAGGGGAGAATATGCCATAAGAGATAGCAAATCATATTAGAAAGAAATAGCTCTGTCAGAGACCTCTATGTTGGTATTAGATTGGTGCAAAAGTAATTCTGGTTTCAGACCATGAATTTTAAATCTTCATAACAAGACTCAAACATATCTTTATTAATTGAAATGGGGACCATTGCAATCAACACATTTTTACCAATGATAAATATGTTTGTTCTGGTAGCATAAAAATCCCTGCTTTAGGATTGGACGAACTCTTGGAAAGTATTTTGTACATTCTTCTGGTTGTAGAAGCCTTTTCCTGGCACTTCCCAAAGCCCAACTTGCACCAGAAAGAGGTCACAGTCACTGTTTGGTGGTCTGCTGCTGGTCTGATCCACTACAGCTTTCTTCTTCTTTCTTTTTTTTTTTTTTTGAAACAGTTTCACTCTTGTCATCCAGGTTGGAGTGTAATGGCCTGATCTCCGCTAACTGCAACCTCTGCCTCCTGAGTTCAAGCGACTCTCCTGCCTCATCCTCCAAAGTAGCTGGGATTATAGGCACACACCGCCACACCCAGCTAATTTTGTATTTTTAATAGAGAAGCATTTTTGCAGCAAAAAGTTGGTTGTCGAGATGCCTTCTGAAGAGTTGGTAGTCAGTCAGCTAGAGATCAGATGAATATGGTGGGTGAGGCAAAGCTTTGTAACCTAGTTGGTTTAACTTTTGAAGCTTTGGTTGTGCAACGTGCCCAGAATTCACGTCACTAAGAAAAATTGGGCCCTTTCTGTTGATCAGTGCTAGCTGCTAACTGACATTGCAGTTTTCAGTGCATCTCATCAATTTG